CTGTCCTTCTCGGCTTGCGGGCTGAAGAACTTGTCCTGCGTGTCCTTGGACGTGCACTGGGAGCAGTCCGAGGTGGTGTTGGCGGCCGCGCGGCCCTGCTTCTGCATGGGGGAGAAGTACAGCTCGGGCGTGGACGAGACCGGCTTCTGGGCGGACCCTCCGGAGAGCGAGGACTCGTTGGTGAGGTTGGCGTCCGTGCGGTCGGGCGTGAGCGGCGACCAGGCCTGGTTCCCCGCGCGCTGGCCGCCGTCGGACACTTTGAAGCTCCCGCTGCTCTTGGGCGGGCCGCAGGTTTCCGGGCTGCCGAGGGCGTGCGGAGGCTGGCGCGGCGGCGTGGCGTCCCCGGAGGCCCCCTGCTCGTTCTCCACCCATATCCTCTGGAGGTTGGGCGGGGTGGGCGGAGACGGGTGGAGAGGGGACGACCCCCGCTCCATGTGGTCATGAGGCGAGGGCGAATCCAGGTGCTTCATCACCAGGGGGGACATGCGGATCACCTCGCCCAGAGCAGCGCGGAACTGCTCCACCATGGGGTCGGGGCACACGGCCAGGCGCTCCACCCACACGCACATGTGGATCATGCGCTTCAGGCTCACCGCTAGCACGCTGCTGTTCTCCTGCAGTGAGATGGAACTAATAGCAACTGTTGCTTGCTAAGCGACTTCGAAGATTTCAATCAAAAGCTGCTTTCATGAGAAATCGGCAATTATTCGAATATACACACGATAACCTTAATATTTTTTTTTTTTTTCAAAACACCAATTCTATTAGTTGAGATAAGTTGCAGTTATTACAACGGAGAGAGAACAGACAAAAAGTTTAGCAATAGTAGGGGAAGGGGGGGATGGGAAGGGGGAGGAGGAGGAAGAGGAAGAGGAAGAGAGGAGGGGAAGAGGAGGGGAGGGAGAGGGAGCAGGAGGAAGGGAGAAGGGAGAGGGAGAAGAGCAGGAGGAAGGGGAGGGAGAGGGAGAAGAGCAGGAGGAAGGGGAGGGAGAGGGAGAAGAGCAGGAGGAAGGGGGAGGAGAGGGCAGAAGAGGAGGCGGAAGGGGCAGGAGAAAGGAGAAAGAGCAGGAGGAAGGGGAGGGGAGAGGGAGAGCAGGAGGAAGGGGAAGGGAGAGGGAGAAGAGCAGGAGAAGGGAGGGAGAGGGAGAAGAGCAGGAGGAAGGGGAGGAGAGGAGAGGGAGAAGAGCAGGAGAAAAGCAGGAGGAAGGGGAGGAGAGGGAGAAGAGCAGGAGGAAGGGAGGGAGAGGGAGAAGAGCAGGAGGAAGGGGAGGGAGAGGAGAAGAGGCAGGAGGAAAGGGGAGGGAGAGGGAGAAGAGCAGGAGGAAGGGGAGGGAGAGGGAGAAGAGCAGGAGGAAGGGGAGGGAGAGGGAGAAGAGGCAGGAGGAAGGGGAGGGAGAGGGAGAGAGCAGGGGGAAGGGGGGAGAGAGAGGGGGTGGGGGGAGGGAGGGAGGGAGAGAGAGAGAGGATGGTGAGGAGAGAGAGAGAGAGAGAGAGGAGAGATAACAGAGAGAAGAGCAAAGAAATGAGAATGAGAAATACAACAAAAGTAAACCCCTCGCCCCGAGACGAACCGCCGCGAAGGACAACCCACCTGGCAGTACGTGAGGCGCAGCAGGCGGTCGCGTTCCGTCAGGAGTCGATCAGCGTCGCACTCCTCCCTCGTCGCCGCCTGGGTCCTCCTGACGAAGGAGGTCCTCCCGCTCCGCCTCCAGCCGCGCCTGGGGGAGGAAAGGAGCGTCGGGGAGCGTGAAGAGAGAGAGAGAGGGGAGTGGAGGGGGAGAGGAAAGGAGAGAGAGGGAGGGGGGAAGAGGAGGGGAAGGGTGGGAGAGATGGAAGTGACAAAGCAAACAGTAACCAATATTTGTTAAGAATATGGGAATGCAGCTTAAGGTTTGAGATCAGTGGATGAATTATTATATCACATACACATCTATAACTGTATAAATGCGCACGCACACACACACACACACACATGTGTGTGCGGCCTGTGTATATTCATGCGTGTGTGTGAGGGTCTGTGTGTATATTCATGTGTGTGTGCGATCTGTGTGAGTGGTGTTTTCTCTCTCTCTCTCTCTCTCTCTCTCTCTGTCTGTCTATGTCTGTCTGTCTGTCTGTCTGTCTATGTCTGTCTGTCTTATGTCTGTCTGTCTGTCTCTGTCTGTCTGTCATGTCTGTCTGTCTGTCTGTCTGTCTATGTCTGTCTATGTCCTTGTCTGTCTGTCTGTCTATGTCTGTCTGTCTGTCTATGTCTGTCTGTCTGTCTATGTCTGTCTGTCTGTCTATGTCTGTCTGTCTGTCTATGTCTGTCTATGTCTGTCTGTCTGTCTGTCTGTCTGTCTGTCTGTCTGTCTGTCTTGTCTCTGTCGTCTTGTCTGTCTGTCCCTTGTCTTTCCTATCTATCTGTCTGTCTGTCCTATCTATCTGTCTGTCTGTCTTCCCCTATCTGTCTGTCTGTCTGTCTTCCCCTATCTATCCTGTCTGTCTGTCTGTCCCCTATCTATCTGTCTGTCTGTCTTCCCTATCTATCTGTCTGTCTGTCTTTCCCCTATCTATCTGTCTGTCTGTCTTCCCCTATCTATCTGTCTGTCTGTCCCTATCTATCTGTCTGTCTGTCCCTATCTATCTGTCTGTCCCTATCTATCTGTATTCTGTCTGTCAGTCCCTATCTGTCTGTCGTCTGTCCTAATCTATCTGTCTGTCTGTCTGTCCCCTATCTGTCTGTCCTATCTATCTGTCTGTCTGTCTGTCCCTATCTATCTGTCTGTCTGTCTGTCCCTATCTATCTGTCTGTCTGTCTGTCCCTATCTATCTGTCTGTCTATCTATCTGTCTGTCTGTCCCTATCTATCTGTCTGTCTGTCTGTCCTATCTATCTGTTCTGTCTGTCCTGTTCTATCTATCTATCTGTCTGTCTGTCCCTATCTTATGTATGTATGTTTGTTGTCCCTATCTGTATGTATGTTGTTTGTCTGTCCCTATCTGTATGTATGTATGTTTATCTGTCTATCTTATGTCTGTCCGTCCCTATCTGTATGTATGTCTGTCTGTCCCTATCTGTATGTCTGTGTTTCTCTCTATATATACAAATAAACGTAAAACAGGACTGGCAGTTAATCTCTGTGGTTGCTAGTCAGGGCCTGGCGATGACTTTCCCAGCACCCTGATCCTCCCCACAACGAATGAACAAAGATGTAGAAAGTATCTAATTAATTCTCCTATTATATTTCCCCACTTCTAGATATATATGACGATACAGGATATTACTGGGTCCCTCGAGTTTTGTCCGGTTGAAGTAGCAAAAACCAGCAGGATGTTACTCTACAACTTCTCCTGTGGAATATCACTTTCGAAGACGTGCTTAAGAAAGAAAAAAAAAGAATAGAGTAACAGCGATGATGGTGATAAACCCCTATAAATACCAACTCGGTTCGACCACAACTCTCTAGACCCCCGTATTCCTAATGGCTTCCCTTCGACGCGCGCCGAGTAGCGAATGTGATCAAGGTACGTGCTCATACTTCCAAGATTTCCTTGGTCGACACCGCTCTAGGTCGAAGTGCCAGGAGAACCAAAGTGTGCCATGTTCAGAGACGCCTCCTTCGTCAGCTATCTTCCCTTCCTGCCTCTTGAAGAACGAGTTTACTGCACATGAGTCATGAGTCTACTCTCTGACCTGGACAGAGCGTGAAAGTTGCACTACAACACTGGCCGCGGACACACCACAACACTTGGATGAAACGTGCATTCTAATTATTTTGAAGTACTTCCTTTCTTGTGTGTTTTTTACTTATCTAAAAAACTGAAATGGTTGTACTATTTAATCAAATGCTTAAATGAACTGATAATTGTTAATAACCATTATCTAAAAACATTACAAAATGTGCAAAATGTGATTGAGTAATAGAGAGAGAGAGGGGACAGGGAGGAGGGAAGAGGGAGGAGGGAGGAGGAGAGAAGGAGGGGGAGGGGGAGGAGGGAGGGGGAGGGGAGAGGGGAGGGGGAGGGAGGGAGAGAGAGAGAGAGAGAGAGAGAGAGAGATGAGAGAAGAGAGAAGGAGAGAGAGAGAGAGAGAGATGGAGAGAGAAGGAAGGAAGATTAGGCAGGAGAGAGAGGAGAGAGCGGGGGGGGGAGTAACGTCCAGCCCATGTCTTGCACACCACTGAAAGGGGGAAGATTTTTAGAAAGGCAAAATAAAACAGAACATGTCAAAGAATTCCATTGTATATAAATTTTGGAATTGAAACTAAAAATCTTTCAGTCCATTTTTCATCTTCCTCTGGTTTACTGTTCCACCCTATCTCCTTATTATTCACTACTACGGTACTGCTACTTTCCCCCCTTTATAAAAGACAAATTTCTCTCACTCTCTCCTTCTCTTCCTCTCTCTTTTCCCTTCTACCTCACCCTCTCCATCTATACCACATCCTATTATTCCTTCCTTATCCCATTTATGACAACTCGTCCCCTCTTTTTCTCTCTGTCCCTCTCCCTTTTTATTAATTATCCCATCTCTACCTTCCCTTTACTCCTCTCTCTATCGTGTTTATACTCTTGTCCTCTCACCCTCTCCCTTTCATCCTTTTTGTCTTCCTCGCTTCATCTCCCTCCCTTTTTACCTCCCCGTCGTCTCCTATTGGCACCTCCCTTTTTTACATCTCCCTCCTCTCTCCTCTCCACACTTCTCTCCCCCAACCCTCTCCCTCTTACTCCTCCCCTCCCTCTTACTCCTCTCCTTCCCCTCTTTTACCACTCTCTCCCTTCTCCCCCCTCTCCCCACTCCTCTCCTCCCTTCTCTCCCTCTTTACCACTCCCTCACCTTCTCTCCCTCTTTAACACTCTCTACTCCTTCCTCCCCCTCTCAACCTTACTACCACTCCCTCCCTTCTCTCCCTCTTTCCCTCCCTACCCCCCTCTTTCCACTCCCTCTTACCCTTTCCATTCTCTCCCCTCTTTACCACTTCTCCTTCTCTCCCCTCCACTCTCCCTTCCTACTCTTTCCCACTCTCCCCCCCTTTCTCTCCCCTCTCCCTTCTCACTTCCCCTCCCTCCTTCCCCCCTCTTTACCGCCTTCCCTCCCTTCTCTCCTCACCCCTCTTTACCACTCCCTCTCCCCCCTTCTCCCCCTCCCCACCACCCTCCCCCTCCCTTCTCTCCCATCTCTCAACCACCCCTCCCCTCCCTTCCTTCCCACCACCATCTCCCCCCCACCTCCCCCTCCTCTCTCTCCCCCTCCCACCACCCCTCCCCTCTCTTCCCTCGCTTCCTCCATCTTCCACCCCTCCCCTCCCTTCTCTCCCCTCCACCACCACCTCTTCCCTTCCCTCCCCCCTTCTTTACCACTCCATCCCTCTCCTTCTCCCCTCTTCCACCACCCCTCTCACCACCCTCTCCACCATCTTCCCTACCCTCTCTCCCCCCTCACCACTCCCTCTCCCCTCCCTCCTCTCCACCACCACTCCTCTCCCTTCTCTCCCCTCTTACCACTCCCCTCCCTTCTCTCCACTCCCTCTCCTTCTCCCCCCGTTCTCCACCACTCCCTCCCCCTCTCCCTCTCTCTCCCCCCCTTCCACCCCTCCCCCCTCTCGCCACCACTCCTCTCCCTTCTCTCCCCTCTTTACCACTCCCCTCCCTTCTTCCACTCCCTCTCCTTCTCCCCCCTCTCCACCACTCCCTCACCCCTCCTCCTCCTCTCCACCACCCCTCCCCCTCTCCTCCCCTCCACTCCCACCACTCCCACCCTCCTCTCTCCCTAGACCCACACCACACACTCACATATCTGGACAAGGCGGCGACTGGGCTGGGCGAGGACCTCCTTCCTGGGGCGTCGTGAAAACTCTCGTTGGATTCAGTCTGGAACAGGTGAAAGGGCTTTAGGAGAGAGGTCACCTGCTTTATCATTTATTCCTTGTGAAGAAGGCACCAGGTTGTGTGTGTGGGGGGGGGGGGGGGAGGGGGAGTGATTGTGTGTGTGTGGGGGGAGGGGGGAGTGACTGTGTTTGTGGTGAGGGGGAGGGGGGAGTGATTGTGTTTGTGTGGGAGGGGAGGGACTGTGTGTGTGGGGGGGGGGGGAGTGGTTGTGTGGAGGGGGAGGGGTGAGTGTGTGTGGAGGGGGGGTGATTGTGTGTGTGTGTGGGGGGGGGGTGATTGTGTGTGTGTGTGGTGGGGGGGGTGGTTGTGTGTCTGTGGGGGGGGGGTGATTGTGTCTGTGGGAGGGGGTGATTGTGTCTGTGGGGAGGGGGGGTGATTGTGTGTCTGTGGGAGGGGGTGATTGTGTCTGTGGGAGGGGGGGTGATTGTGTGTTGTGTGTGGGGTGATTGGTGTTGGGGAGGGAGCGATTGTGTGTGGAGGGGGGGGGGTGATTGTATGTGTGTGTGTGTGTGGGGGGGAGTAACTGTGTGTGTGTGTGTGTGTTTGTGTGGTGATTGTGTGTGTGTTTGGTGGGGGTGATTGTGTGTGTGTTTGTTGGTGGGTGATTGTGTGTGTGTGTTTGTTTGGTGGGTGATTGTGTGTGTGTGTTTGTTTGGTGGGTGATTGTGTGTGTGTGTTTGTTTGGTGGGTGGTGTGTGTGTTTGTTTGTGGGTTTGTGGTGTTGTTTGTGGGTGATTGTGTGTGTGTGTTGTTTGGTGGGTGATTGTGTGTGTGTGTGTTTGGTGGTGATTGTTGTGTGTGTGTGTTTGGGGGGTGATTGTGTGTGTGTGTGTGTTGGGGGGTGATTGTGTGTGTGTGTGTGTGTTTGGGGTGATTGTGTGTGTGTGTGTGTGTTGGGGGTGATTGTGTGTGTGTGTGTGTTTGGGGGGTGATTGTGTGTGTTTGTGTGTTGGGGGGTGATTGTGTGTGTGTGTGTGTGTGTGTGTGTTGTGTGTGTGGTGTGTGTGTGTGTGTGTGTGTGTGTGTTGTGTGTGTGTGTGTGTGTGTGTGTGTGTGTGTGTGTGTGTGTGTGTGGTGTACAATCACACAATCACTCTACACCGATACCTTAGGAATAAATAAATAAATAAATAAATAAATAATGGATTAATAAACAAATATACAAACCGTAGTATGGATCGAGTTGTCGTCTGGAGAAGCTGCACCGGAAGACCTTGAAAGTTCTCGACTGCCCACCTCTGCAATTTCACAATACAATTTGAATTCTCGATATATTTCGATTTGTTTACCCTTCAAAGACATATTACTGATATTTGTCTTCCCTTTTCTGTACTCTAGAAGGCATTTACATAATGACCGCACTACGGAATAAGGAATAACGCAGGCATTGGATAACGTCAGAAAGGAAGAAACTGGGTCCCTGAAAACTACCGCGCGAGTCACTTCATAAACAAATACCCTTTTCCCTCCACATGCAAACGCAAATTCACTGAAAACGCTACGACACTCGTTAAACGTACGTAAATTGTTGGGGGGAAACCTAAAAATCTGGCAACATTTCCCAGAACCTGATAAATACCAAGGACAAACTCACACCAAGCAAGATCCGGCGAAGACCAACGAACCAGCACCACTGATATTCTGGGGAGATGGGAGCTTAGACTAGTTCCTTCTTTCGTAAAATTGCTAGGGAGGTCTACAAGCTCGTATTTTATCAGAATAGATGTGCTTTATATTAGTTGCCATAGTTTTTTTTTTAGTGCACGATCTCTGATAAGCCAACGTTGGCTTAGTTTTGATATCTCCATGCTATTGCGGTTTCTCATAAACAATATTTTTTTCACTATTTCACGGTCATGAACTGGACTATTGCCTTTTCACGCACATGGGTAACTTCAAGCCAATTAACATGACTAATTCGAATAATTTCATGTTCCTTTACCCCTCAAAATGTCTTAAAATATATTGATTTCATAAACTGTCTGCTTTTGTTATGGAAATATCCTTGCTACAATAAGCATGTTCCTGACGAGTGTGGTTAGGCGTACCAGAGCCCATTCAGTATTATCTTGCATATTACCAAGTATCTAAACTTATGCGAACTTCCAAAATACTTTGGGAAAATATTGTCGAAAGTAAGTTACTGCACGACCCGTTCCTGTGCATGCTATGAAAACTTTCGAACGTTCATGTTATACTTATTTATGGTAACATTTGATTATTTGGCATCGAGAGGAGTCGACTGATATCAAATTCGTTAGAATTTAAAACAAGCGAGTTGGTTCTCGGAAATGCTATTTGAGTTTGACATCTGAACAACAAAAGAATTCACTTACCTTCTTCGACCCAAACGCGATCCTCTTTCCTAATCACCATGGTATAAATATATCCTTGCTATTTGTAATTCTAAAGCGAAAAAAAATAATAATAATAATCCCGAGATCTTTCCCCTTATAGGTCTACCGCAGCTGCGCCCTCGAAACAAATCAAGCCCCCCTTAGTTGAAATCGTAACACTTCCTAACACTCTGCCATCTGTAGTGACTATAACACGCAAGGGGGTGTTGGTGGTATGTTTCGAACCAATGAGATTCGTCGTAGGGTTTTGATTCTATTTTTACTTGGCTACTATTGGTCCGTTTCGAGTTCTGTTCGGGTAAAAGAGCTAATTGGCTCTTTTATTGGGAGTAACTGCCCTTTATGTCGGTAAAGATAAAAGGCAGAGTGATTGATAGGTACCAACGAAAAAGGATGAATTAAGAAAGTCAAAATAAAGTTATTACGATTGGCTACATTTAGATTAATTGTTTAGAAAGGTGTAAAGGCGAGGGGAGGGGGTTAGAACTGTTAGTATACTTCATGTTGTGAAGAATATCTTGAAGGATTTCAGAGTTTTTTTTTCTTCTTCTAGACGTCTTGTGTTATCAAATCGGGTTATAAATTTTATTAGGAAGTGATGTGGTTTTATGTAAATGTAGTGTGTTGCCTGAGCTGATGTTTTTGACTTCTGTGTTGTAATACTGGTAATACTGTGTGAAGTTATAGGTAGACCATCTAGATTTGTAGTTCTGAAGATATTGCTCGTGTATGGACCTGGGAAGATAACATGTGAAGTGTTTCCAAAGTATTGTTACATCTAAATGTGTCTAAATTACTAAAAAGGTGTATATATACACAAAGAGAAAAATGTTAAAGCACGGTCGATTAACAGACAATGCCTCTAACTCAGCGAACACAAAGACCGCAAAAAAAAAAAAAAAAAAAAAAATGTTCACACGCATTGGTATGTTCAAAATGACATGCAATTCCTTTACGATGGAAGTGCGATTCGATGAGCTGCTTCGAATGACGTAACATCACTTCAACCACTTCCTTATGGACCACTTTCCTCCTCCCCCTTTGGCGCTTCTCTCTCTCTCTCTTTCTCTCCCTTCCTCCCTCTCTCTCTCTTTCTCTCCCTTCCTCTCTCTCTCTCTCTCTCTTTCTCTCCTTTCCTCCCTCTCTCTCTCTCTTTCTCCTCCCTCCCCCTCTATCTCCGTCTCACTGTCTTTGCCATCCTCTTCTCTCTCTCTCATCCTCCTTTTCTCTCTCTGCCATTCTCCCTCCCCCCTCTCTGTCTGTCTGTCTCTCTCTCTCTCTCTCTTTGGGGATACTTCATTATTTTTTCATTTTTGATATTCTGCCTGTAATCATATGTTAGGCTGCTTAACTTTGGTAATTACTTAGTAATAGTGCTTTTAAAATGCGATACATAATACTAGGAATAGTTGTTGTAGAATGTGTACGGCTTCTCGAAGCTACAAAATTAACCTGTGAATTTCAAGATCGCACATTGACAATGTACAGAGTATATGTTGGCTCTTACTGAGGTCATCGTCGTGTGAAATCAGCTCTACAAATGGGGAAAATAAACAAGTATAAATCTCAAAGGAAGAAAGAAGAAGAAGAAGAAGAAAAAAAAAAAAAACAATTCCAGCAAAATGCACTTTAATACTCAATAAATACATGCATTACTATTATCATTATTGTCATTATTTCATGAAGGGATACTACGGTAAAGAATGACATCCAACAGCTGACGGAGTACAATAGGCTTCACCGAGATTCTGAACATACGCCAAAGTGCTTGTA